GAGGGGACACATACACCCTTCTAGAGGGACCCCAGAACATTCTGTCAAAATGGAGCCATTAATAGTCAAATTCAAGAAACAAACCTCCTTAGCAGTTTGGGTTCATTCTAAAAAACAGAGGAAGCAGTGCTTTGCTGCTTTACTTTTAATAGCATGGGTTGTCATGCCAACTAGTGCTGCTATTTAAATTGAAGGGGGAAGAAAGAAGTGTTCCTTCCTACACAAACCTTTCAGCAGGGCTCACAATTAGTCTTTTAAAAACACGAAAACTCATTGCACTGGAGATACGGTAAACATTGTGCTTATATTTAAACCTGTCGGAATGAGGATGTGATAAACCTCTGGTTTGTATTTCCTTTGTACAATGCTCCTTGCCCAGTATCTGGCTGCGTGGTGCCCTAAAAAGAAGAAAGGCATTCTGTGGGCACGTGCCAAGGCAGCCGATCTTGGGATGGGAGAGGAACCGTCCATTCGGAATAAACACCACTGAAGAAAGAGACAGAGACGACAGTTTTCTCACCAGAGTGGCTCTGCTCCCCCATGGAAGGCACAGTTCCTAAAAGGCTGGGTCTGCACCATGCTGCAGGACACACCAGAGGTGTCAACGACAGTGGGAGAGAAGATGACAAGATGCGCTAGGCACCGTGGCAGAGGGGCCCCGTCCTTCCCCCCGTCAGTGTAGGAGTGCCGAGGGGCCCAGCTCAGCCGGGGAGGCGAGCCAGCAGAAGGAGAACATGCTGTGTCTGATGTGGTGTGTTGATGTTGTCTGGGGACAAGAGAAGGCAGGAAAGTCTGAGGCAGGGGGAGGACGTAAGGCGTCTTCTCTCCCAATAGCCTGGCCATTGTTAACTTCTGTTTCTAAAAGGATCCAGCTGGTATAAAGGAAGATCTGTGCAGCGTCGCTGAGGCTGGGGGGACCTGCTCACGGACCAGCCGAAGGGGTCCTGTCCCAAGACGTTGGGGGGCTGACAACCTGGCCCCATGCTTTCTGTTCAGCATTCTCTCTTACCTCTCTTCCGTGAGAGCAAGCCATTGGCTCCCGGATCCTCAGGCCTCATGCCCTCGTACCCCCAGGGTCTTGAGGATGAAGGTGTCTCTCTGCTGTGAGACTTTCTGATTCCTATTAGCCCTTGATGTACCAGCAGTTTCTCCTCTCCCAAGGGCACCCCAACCTCTTAAATGTGGCTGCAAGCCCCCCGGTCCGTTCACCTGAAAGGAACACACCTTGCACTCACCAGTCTTCTCTAATCAGTTGTCTTTTCGTGTCTTTCTGTTTCATCTCCAACTAGACTGGAAGTTTCTGGAAGCCAAAAAGACCTTCTTCTTTGTGCTTCCCCTGTGCCCGGCAACTCCTGGGCATATGCCGGTGGGAACAGCGCAGCAGCATCCAGCTGCCATGTAATGAGCTCCACTCGGTATCACGTAGCAAGTGTCGGGCTCTGTCCTGAGTACCTTACCTAGTTTAACGAATAGCCTCACAATGATCTGAGATAGGTGTGGCTACTGTCCCCATTTTACAGAAGGGAAAACCAAGGCATAAGGGGTTAACAACTTGCCAGGATCACACAAGTGTAATCTGTGAGTGGCAGACCCAGAATCCAAAACCAAGCCCCCGAACACAAGGGCCAGGGCTCAGGACACGCTAGGTTGCTGACCTGGGTTTGGGGGCTGTTCTCAGACAGAGATGGGGTGGAGTGCCAATGGAGGGGAGAAAAATGAGTGGGAATATCTACAATAGCACACATATGACACTACCTCATTCCTTGAAACTTGCATAAATGTACGTGCATTTACTCATAAAGAGACACATGCAAAGATGGTCTCAACGATGTCAAGGGGTAGTCTATCTCAGGAGGGCGGGACTCTAAGTGACATTTATTTCCTTTTCCATACTTGTCTGTATTGTTTAATGCTTCAAGGAGTCTGCAAGGTGCTGCATATTGCAAAAAAGACAACCGATGAGGTCACTTTCATTATGGGAGGAAAAGGAAAACAAAACAAAAGAAAAAGAAAAAAAAGCGGGGGATGGGAAGAAGAGCCATCAAACGTTTCTGCACAGAAGGGTGGCGGCCACTCTTGGTGTCTCAGAAAGATCACTTTGGCCACCATGCAGGAGGCGGAGACAGAGACTGACTATATGACCATGATGAATGACAGCAATGACAATCACTCGCACCCACGGGGCCCCCAGAAGTAGCACAGGAAGTTTAAAATCCAGCTGTCCCCACGGAAGCACTACTCCCCAGAGTCAAATGCCCACCACCAGATAAATGGGTGAACAAACTGTGCTGGATCTACACAGCAGAATGTCATTCAACCGCAAGAAGGAATGAGTCCTGATACGGGCTACGGCTACAGCACGGGTGACCTGAAAACATTCCGCTGGGAGAGGTCAGACACCAAAGGTCACTAACTGGATGGTTCCAGTTATAGGAAATACCCCAGATGGGTAAATCCATAGAGTCAGAAAGCAGACTGGTAGTGGACAGGGACTGGGGGAGGGAGGTGGGGGACAACTGCTTACTCGGGACGGGGTCTCCTTCTAGGATTTGATAGAGCTGATGCCTGCACTGCAGTGAATGTACCGAATGCCACTGAATTATATACTTTAAAATGGTTACGTTTATGTTACGGGAGTTTACCCCAATGAAAAAACAATACAGTTAGCCTTTTAACCTAAAGCCCTGAGAAAATGGAAGGGCAGATGATAAGGAAAAAAAAAAAAAAGAAGAAGAAGAAAAAGAAGAAGAAAATGCCAGCAAATGAAGGGAGCAGGACCCTCGGCCTGGGACCAGAGGAGAGAGGGTTTGTGCTCAGCCAAGGTTGGACCTTCTGAAACTGAGCACCCAGATGCCAGCCGCTTTCTCCTAGATAGGACCTGTTTTAGTTAAAAGATCTGAGATGACAGGGTCATCAAATGTTTGTTGGGGAAGCTCCAACTGCAAAACTAAGTAGAAACGGCAAGGTTGAAGCCATGTAGTCAAATGCTTTACTACTGGAAACAGACCCTGCCCTCCCCAGCACCAGCCACAGCAGAGGGCAGCTGCCTGCGGCTTGGCTGCCTCCCCCTGGACTAGGGGCCGCTCATGGGCAGGGTCCATGCCTCGCGCATGGCGGTATCCCGGCCTTCATCACAGCCCCTGGCTCAGAACAGGGGACCGCATATACGTGTATTACACAAATGAATGTCCTCCATTGTGTCTATCTTATCAACTGATTTTATATTTAGTAGATAAAACAAAGATATGGTATAAAATCCATAAGCTTTAAGGAATGTACAGTGGTAAATTTCCCTTTCTCCCCCCCTTGTACTCCATCACCTACGAGGCAACCTCTGGCCCTGTCCCCATCGCTTTAAATGTGACCAGTGCAGTGAAATTCTGAATCGCAAAAGCTCCAGCAACCAATCGCACCACCTAGTGACTCGGGCGTCAGGTCATTCCCACAAGATGGAAGCTACATGTGATACCAAGATGAAAGTCACTGGAGTGCAAACAAGGCCCCAGTATTCCGCGCTGGGAGGAGGCACATGCCAGGCTTGCAGAGGAATGCTGGTAAGGTGACAGCCGTCCCCTACAGTCATTCACGGCATGACGAGAAGTCCATGGGCAGGAGCCCCGCAGCCAGCCAACCACGCCGGCCAACTCAGGCTCCTCACACCTGGTTCTGACATCTGAGAAGTTCAAGCTGAGGAAAGGCCGTGCTGCTACATGATGGGATGAAAGGAGACATGCCAACCGCAACCAACCTCGGACCCAGAGAGATGGTTTCTTTAGTGGTTTGTCTAGAGGAAAAAAAGTTCACCTGAAAAGGACTCAACTGGGAGCTGGGTGGCACGGTCTCCATGGACGGACCCCACGGTGGACACAGCAGACAGGCACCAAGCTGGCTGGGAGGGGAGGGTCCCAGGAAACGGAAGCACGCAGAGTGGGTAAGAATCTGGGCAGAGTCCCAGGGGGTGAGCCATGTGTGACAGGAACATCCGGGCACACTGCTTTATCTAGCCAGACTGAGAGGGGCTTTTTTTGAAGACTGAGTAACCATTGCCCTGGAGAGTCACCAAACCAAAGACTAAAAAAAGACCCGAGCCACGCAGGCTCATCTGTCCTCCCAGGCTCCTGCCTCATGTGGCAGGCTAGGGGATGAGCTGGGCGCTCATCTGATTCCAGCCAATGTGTTACTATGTTTCATTCCCTGTCCCCATGCCCGGAGGCGCTGCAATGGGTATAAATTTAGAAAGAAAAAGATAAATAAAATGGAAAAGTCCACTTTAACAAAATGAGTTGTTTTCTTTCCTTCTTTTTACTCCACTAAAGAAAGGATAAACCGATCGTGTTACTTATTCAGCCCACACCCTGGTGGAATTTGGTATTCTGGGCAGTAGCTCGATAATGCATGACCGCAGCCCGAGATTAACTAGGCTCTTCTGAAAACTGTAAAACAGTCAAGCTTCCATCCTCAGTGTTTTTTAGAAGCTGAAGGAACAAAATGACAGGACCTCGCACAAGATCTGTAATCAACTTGGGTCTCTTCTGAACAAGCAAAAGCCTTTAAATGAAGACCGTGCTTATTGACACGGATGCCAATACCAGCTCACCTGACAATACCCCGTGCCCAATGGTGCCATTCCATCAGAAGTTACGCATCAATGTTTTAAACAAAGTAAAACCGGCTTTCTAAGGGAATTAGGATCACAGATGGGAGATTTTGGGTGATGGCAGAAACTACCCTGCAAGAGAAACTGCTTGAGAAATGCGTGCCTTTCCTCACATGCAAACTCACAGCCAGTGGGTTTAGGGGCCACTGGGAGGAAGTTGCCACCAGTGAATTCCATGATCCAATCATCTAGCCCAACTCCCGTTTCACAGAGTGAAGTGACAGGCCAAGGTCACACGGCTGCTAGGGACAGAGGAGTCAGGACCTGGTCTCACAGCTCTTCCCAGTGCTGCTTCTGCTAGTGCCCCACCCCAACCTGGAAGTACCAGACTCAAGGGCTCTACCTCCGACAGCATCTCATACTGGCCTCTTCTTCCAAGGGCAATGGTCAGTAAATCATAGACCACAGATGCACTCTGCAAGCTGATGAGGCGGTCACTCTTGTGCTCGGGTATTCTGCTCAGCACAGCGTCCCGGTTGGCCTGAAAACAACACAGAAGAGAGAAGCAGATGGTGAGCCAGCCCAGGCACACGGCTATCATTTTGTGGAGAGAAGCCATCTAGGCCCTCCTGCCCCCAAGGGCTTTTGCCAAGGGCCTGGAGACAAGGGCAGGAGTAAGGGGCTTGTCACCTTGGGTTGATTATTCAAAACCCCCCCAGCACCGCAGCACACGGTACGGGGCATTATCCAAACACAAAGGCCTGGAGGTATGGGTCTGGAGGATGCTTGGTACCTGTCAGCAGGCATTGGCAGGAGGCTTTCGGAGCTGATGCAAAGCAGGGTGATTTCTCCCGGCCTCGGGCTCCCAGCCAGCCCTGCCGCGCACACAGCCAGGGCTCTGGGGCAGCAGACTCACCCATCGGGTGGGGCCCTGCTGTGCCTCGCTTGTCGGTCCGGCTCCTGCTGTACATTAAAGAGCGGAGGGGGGGGGGATCCCCAGTCCCACACTCCCATCATCAAATGGTGCCATTAAGTTCCCTCAGTCCTGCAGAGACGCGTCGTACTTTTCCTCTGCCACTAAAGCAACATTCAGATCCCTATATGGCACCTTCACTGGATGAGACTACAAAGACTAACGCGATCTTGTTTAGGGAAGCACCAAACAGCTGTAGAAGAGCGAGCAAGAAGCAAGCCGATTTTTGTTTTAAAAGATATTACCAGAGGACTCAGGAGAACACCTTGCCTGTTGCGTATCTCCACTGCTTGGCACAGAAACACAGCAGGCACATTCAAGCTTATTAATCTCATCTCTCTAGAAATCAAATGCTCTTTACAACAACGTGTTTTCATTACTTTTGAAATTTAATTTCTCGACAGAGTCTCCAGACACATCACATGTATTAGGGCCACTAACCACTCTAACCATTTTCCTTTCCTCCCTGCTAGGGAGTTCAGAATCAATTAAGTTAGATTTTGCCTGTCTTTTCTCCCCCTGCTAATTAGCAGAAGTTTCTGGATCTATGCATCCCTAGGAGGACAGAAAGGGCCCCCTTGGTTTCTCCTGTGAAAGTGGTAGGTGAGGTACCAGGGTCCCTGGTCCGGGCAGGCTGATGGCTATCCTGCTGCCTGACATGCCCACACACCTCCTCTCTCACTAATAAGACGAAATGCCTTCTCTCTGTGTATGAGTCCAAGGCGCTCACTTTTAGCCACCCATCCATACTTACTCACTTTAAAACTCCTTGCTCTTAAATGTCAAAGACAAATAAGAATATATAAGACAGGCCACTTCCTACCAAGTGAGTCATCTCTTCTGGATACAAGCCTGCTTCTGAAGATTTCATTCTAAGGTTTTCTTGTTAGGAGCAACTTTGAGCCAACAAAAGAAGCTCTAAGGGAAACGGGGCCCTGCTATAAGGAGTCTCATGTTATTTACTTGCTATAAATGTTCCATATTAGGACCAACGCCTGGAAGAGAACAAAACAAAACAAAATACTACTTGAGAGATTTTCAAGTTATGCCAAGTACATTTTTTTTTAATTTTTAGAGAAAGTCTATTGATACCTTTTGATTCAAATCTCAAACAGACCCACAAATAATAAATATCCCAGAACACTGTCTCAGAGGTACTTGTGCAAATGTAGCTCTGATAACCCCTTTTTGTCCTGGGGAAAATTCATTTGATTTGAGGTGAGAAAGCAGTACAATGCCAAACCATATCTTACGGGTGGAGAGACTATGGACAAGTTGATGTTTCTAAGTTAGAGTCAGAACCAATGAAGAATACAATTTTCCTAGACACCAAAAAAACACAGGAATTCTCATTTGGTTCTGAAATTGAGCACGTGGATTTCTGTCTAAAAACTGAAAAATCAAGAAGTCAAGGAACATGAAAAAAGCTTCCAAGGGAACTTAATTTAGACTTCTACCTACATAATTATGGAACAATTTACAGGGAGACCATAATCGTTTTGGTTGGAAACCCAGACGCTCATATTTACTAATGATGTCATTGGGTTTCACCATCCTCTGAAGGGAGTTTCCAGAAATTAAACACCACAGAGCCAAATCTGATGGTCTCAAAGGAATCTCAATTTTGAGTATTATTAGTTTCTATCATTTCAGTTAAGGAGCAGGAAAGGTGGAGACATCATTCCCAAGACATCTACACTTGGAGCAAGCATTCTGGAGATGTGGCTATGTTTTCCAAATTCTAAACTGGAACACACACTCTGACAACAGAACACAATATTTTCGATCAGAATTGTCCAAGAAATCTAAAATGTGTGGCCGCCAGTCTTTCAGGACTTTCCCAGCATAACCAACCAAGTCTGCCCAAAGGAAACTCACTGCCAAGTTGCGAGGAGCCCAGCTCAGAATGAGGGAATGTGAGCTAGGGGGCCAACATGAGCCGGCCGCCCCCGCTGAAGAACCGATGACAAAGCATGGTGAGACCAGCTCATTTGAAAAACAGTTACTGAAAGCCACCAGGTGCCAGGCTGCTCACATATATGCCTTCCCTGGTCGTGCCAAGGCAGAGTAGAGAATGTAAATGATACCATTCTGAGTTACCAGCTGACAGTCAAGGAAAGATGAGTCAAGGGGGGCAACCTGTTTCCTTCAGAGGAAGTAAGGCCAATGACATCAAAGAGGCTCCAAATAAAAACATTGGTAACTCAAGCAGGCTTGCTCTTGTAAACATCTCCGGGCCATTTCACAGAACAAGAAAACCCAAAGCTTGAAATTAAGAGAAGAATGCTGGCCTCCCTGACCAATCCCAGCTTCTCCCGATCCCTCCTTTACTCAGCCCATTGGACATTCTTCTTGGGCTCCATTTCTAAATCCTCTTCAGCTGGGTGTATTTTATGCCTCCATTGAAACCACATGCTTGGGGAAGAAGGTAAATACCTCCTCTTGCTTCAGTCATGACTCCTTTTCCTCCTCCTTCAACCTCCTGCCTGCCGGGTGAGGTGGCAGAGATGGGAGGAGGCAGTCTGATCTAGAAAGAGCAACAGACCACTGCAAGCTGCATGAATTTTGCCTGCTCTGGTCCTCAGGTTCCTCATCCACAGAATGAGTGAATGGGTATGAGGACATCGAGGTCCTTCCCAGTTCCAGGAGCCTCGCCATCCTGTTCAGGTGCTCAACACACACCACTTACGTGCCAAGGTACTAACTACTGTGACACAGATTGCCTCCCACAGTTTCAAGCCCAGGCAGTCATGCCTAGCACTATGCAGAGCAGAAAGCCAATAAATGGTGAGGAATGAAATTCTAGACGTAAATTTTGATAGCCTGGCCAGACATTAAGAAAACATTTCAAAGGAATCCGATGGCCTGGCAAAAACTCCCTCACAAGGTTAGAGCCAGGGAACAGGAGCGAGCTCTCACGGCCCGGGACTCCAGAATGTCTGGGGAGCAGGCGGGAGGCCTGTCCAGGAGGACAAGGCCACTTCATCAGGCTCCTGCTACAAAAACCAGAGGTTTGTATCCACCACCAGTGGTTTATCCCAACTCTCCCTACCCCCCCAAGGCAAGTTGAGTGGCTTGGAAAGGTTACCCTCAGGGGGATTCCTTCCCTTCTGAGGGTTCCTCTGGTGGTCCTTTTAGCTACGGTTTACCTTTCCACAGTTGTGTTAGTGTTCCCATAGCCAGTGGGCAAATGAATGAACTCAGATGCCTGTTTACTGCTTGCCTAAGAGAGGCTCCATGCTCCAGGCTGAGATGAACCTATAAGGGACATTTCTAACTAGTCCGAGAATTAAGAAACATTCCTCTTCTTAAACCCCTGTTGTTTTTTTCCCCTCACCCAGGTAGCCCCTCTAGAGAGTATTCTCTTCCCAAGAAAAATAGCCACTGTACTGACTGAGTCACCATTATCAAAAACAGGACCACAGGAACGGGGGGGCGGGCGGAGAAATGTGAAAGCACATTCTACTTACCATTGATTCACTAATCAGCAGTAACAACAGGGCTTCTTCAGTATTTTCTTGAGGACAAAAAATGCTGTGTAAAGAAAATCAAATGTTATATATGGCAATTTCAAAATCATACGAAATACATGACGAACAGTACTGAATATTAAAAGCTTCTAGATTTTTATGTAGAACTCACAAAAAATACTGTATCATCTGATGCTTGAATTAATTTGCTTATTTCTATGGTAATCTATGGAATTTATACATTTTAACTGTGCATAAAAACCACAGTAAAAGCCCAAATAACATATATGCCTATTATAGAGGCAGAAATTGAAATTGCTACAAACTGACATGATCTCAATGATAAAGCTTTCTCCTGAGCCCATTCCGGGGGTATGGATTGTAGACATCTCACTAAGCAGTCCGCTTCTTACCTCTCACTAACTGCCACATCTTATATTGTCCTTTAGATGAAATAAGAGATTGGAAGCAATTTTAGAGTTTGAATCATTTCTAGAATACTGTAAGAATTTGGCAAGCTACCTTAATTAAACACACATGTTCTATTATGCGGTTGCATGCAAGAGCTAGCTCTCTTATTAATCTATTTTATGGAAGTTGGCCAAGCTCTAACATCTGGGATTAAAAGAAAGAGCTTTTACGCTCAATGTTACTCAAGATTAGAGAACAACAATAACAACAACAAAACCCAAACACATGACCCCAATCTCCATCCTTTATAGCCTTTTTTTGGGGGGTGCTTTGAGCAATTTTAGAGACTTGCAGCATTTTTTTCTCTGTTCTAAAAGCTCTAGAATCCTTTGAGTAGAACTGAGAGTGTTATCACCAATTGAGCCAAACTCGATTCTTTTTCACGGAATAGAAGAAGGGTGCAATAAAAATGAACTTGGTTAAAAAAAAAAAAACTCGATGTTTTGGAGATGTTAAAATAAAGACTAAATTTACATCTTCCCAGCGCTAACATCATTTAATTTAAGAGATGGGATGATCCCCCATCCCCAAAATGGCAAAAAAAGAAAAAATGTCTTCTACATCATTATAAATACTTGTTCTCTTTGAAGTGTTGGCAACTTTTATAGGGCATCAAAGGACCATGAAGAGCAAGACAGAAAAAGCACAGGGCCTAGTTCTCTTTCTAGACCTCTGACGTCCCTAGAGGTAAGGAGACCACCTGTGGAATGGTCCCCATTGTCCTCGCAGGGCTAAAATTTGATGAAAAGGCTAGTCTGTAAATGAAGAGCAAGATTCTGAGATTTGCAGAGAACTTCTTTAAACAAGTAGCTTGAGGGAGCGGAAGCTGGGTTTTTCAAAAGACAGAACTCTTCTTTCCCCTTCAATTCAGCAATAGAGCCTATAGGCTTTGCATGAAAAGCGCTCCTGAGTGTGTGTGTGTGTGTGTGTGTGTGTGTAAAGCGCTCCTGTGTGTGTGTGTGTGTGTGTGTGTGTGTGTGTGTGTGTGTCTGCCCAGCAATCATTTCCTGATATTCTGCCTGTGCTTACATACCACTGGGACCTTAACAATCAAGCAGTAACACTGACTATTTTTTTCACGACTAGCCAGTTCTGCATTGTCCAGACTAATTGAAAAGAAGAGAGAGCCCGTGCTAATTGTGACTTAACACCAGCCAATTCAGTCCATGGATAATCCCCAAATTCCATCTGAGCCATCCCGCCTGCTTAAATGTTAAGTTGTGTTATTTTTGCCAGAGCTGCTAACAAGTAGCACATTAACTGATTCTAATTCCACTTTCTCAACCCTTCCTTTTGAGGCAGGCGGGATGGGTACTCAGGAGCGTGGCAAACTCTCAGAGCTGGCAGGAAGAAGTGGGGGGTGAGAGGAGGAGGAAGGGCAGTTTTAAGAGACATGCTGAAAACTATACACCAGAACACCCCTTCCACTACATGTAGATTCTCTAGACCCGTTTCTGGCCATTCCTCCCCTGTTCTCCGTCGAAGGAGAGGTGGAGCTCAGGGTAGATGGTTGAAATCATTGGGCTCTTTTTGACAATCTCCTCTGGGGGCCCAAGAGCCTCAGGGCAGATCCTGGGGGTACCCAGGCCTCAGCCTTGTAGAGTGGAAAAACTGGGGCCCTAAACCCACAGGACGTTAACTGAAGGGCAGGGTGCGGAGTAAGAAGGGACAGAGAGAACACAGGGCTCGTGGACAGGGAGGACACGCTGCTGGAGGACAGACTGGTGGCCAGCAGAGGAGGTGGGAGCACAGTCCTGCTGAGCATAGATCGAAGGGCTACGTTCTAAACCCAGCCACCTTACTAACTCCTGGACTGACCTGCAAGCAAGTTGCTCATTTTCTTACTTTGGATGAATTTACCTATTCATTGTCTGACTCTACACAAAAGGAACAAGGGCAAGAATCTCCATTCATGAACAGTGATCAGGACCTTGCCCAGGCTGCCAGATCCCAGTCCTTTCTAAAAATTTTCTCAGATGGGTGAAAAATGTCACTGTATGTGGTAGAAGCCATCCTACAAAAGAAATTAATCCAGTTTTATCCAACTGCAGTTCATCTTTCTGTCATCTCTAGCTATTACACAACCAATGACGAGCTGGATGTCTGGAAGTCAACGGCACCACCCAGGTGTCAATGCAGACTCTATTTAGGTGCAAGGAGTGCTCTGAACACCTCCATCCCACAAGAAAGTTATGTATAAATGACATTAACTCCAAGGCCCAGCAATGGTGCCTTTCTAGGTTTTTCTTTTTTTTTTTTTTTTAAAGATTTATGTATTTATTTTTAGAGAGAGAGAATGAGCGGGGGGAGGGGCAGAGGGAAAGGAGGGAGAGAATTTCAAACAGACTCCCCACCAAGCAGGGAGTTCAACTCAGAGCGCAATCCCACGACCCCTGAGATCACGACCAGAGCTGAAATCAAGAGTCAGACACTCAATCAACTGAGCCACCCAGGCGCCCTTGCCTGTCTAGTTTTAATATGCCTTGCCTGGTTGTGATAGCCCTAGAGAATTCCCAGAGAAATACAGCCTCCGAACCACAGCCCGTGGATAAGAGCTAAAGAGTCAAAGCCCACAATGGCTGCAGCTCTGCCCCATCCCCAAGTCTCACCGTTAAACATGCTGAGGCAGAAAGTACCTTGGTCTCAGGTTTATGTGGAAGGAGAAGCGTTCCAAGAAAGGAGAAGGATTTAAATTAATCATTAAGAGTACCTGTTGACTATGAGGGATCAGCTAGTCCCACCTGAGGATCACCAGGCACACAATTCCACACAGGCCGACTCCCCCTCGTGACAAGAAAGAAGGATCCTTCATTTGGATCAAGTCCACCGAGGTATGCTCTGGAGTGGACTGGGTGAGTCGCACAAAGCATATGGCCTGGCCTGAAGGCTTCTGCATTCCTGGGGAGAGGACTGGCCCTCCACCATGACCGGAAGGAGGGCCGAGTTCGCTCGAGGTGAGCACAGGGCAGCACGCAGGGGGCACAGAGGGTTGTTCACAGGGCTTCAGTGCTGCCATCAGGTGTTTTTCCTGACCCTTCAACGCCCTCATCTTCACACTTTCAACAGTGTCCTTATCATTACGCAAACCCGGTGCACTGGCTCAGGGAGGTTCCAACCTGTATTTAGAAGTCCACGATAGTCACTCTCTCCCGTGGGGCCTACAAAGGAGCTCGGCACGATGTCTGGCTCCCGGCTTTCAGCAAATGTTTTCATCATCCACTTTCTGGCACAAGAGTAGTTTTTAATCTTCTTTCTTACTTTGTGCTAACCATGAAGTCTAATATGCATTTAATGATCTAAGCCATCTCAAATATTTTTTTTACAAGGAGGAATACAATAGCAGAAAGATACACCTGATGTGTGTGCACTAAGGAACATGTGCAAGAATGTTCATTGCAGCACATTCTAGAAGGAGGAGTCAGATAAACACGTAAACAAGCAAAAAATCAATGTTTTAGGTGTTATGATGAAAAATAAATGAGCTCATGTGATAGAATATGCTCGGAAAGAAGGACAGTTAGATTAGGTGATTGGGGAATATCTTTCTGAGAAGATAACAGCCAAGCTATTTGGGCCAGGGCCTGAATGAGATGGAAGCAGCCCCAAATGAGAAACAACTCTAACATCCATCACGAGTAGAGTGGATCAATATATTGGAGTATATATGGAATACTACATAATAATGGAAACAAACTCCGGTTGCATGCAGAAATATGGATGAATCTCTCAAACGTGATATCAGACAGAAGTTACACAGAAGAGTTTTTAATATATTATTCCATTTATATAAATTTCAAAATGGCCTAAACTAATTATTGGGATAGAATTCAGGATGGTTACCCTTGGGTAGTGGGTAGTAATCAGGAGAGGGTACAAAGAGGGCCTCAAGGTTTCTGGCAACGTCTGTTTCTTGATAAGGGTGTAATTACATGGATGTGTTCACTTGGTAAAAATTCATGCAAAGTTTTATACTTTCGGTTTGTGTACTTCTCTCAATATGTGTTATGAGTCCGTAAAAAGCTTACTTAAAAAAATGAATAAGCAGGGGCGCCTGGGTGACACTGTGAGTTAAGTGTCTGACTCTTGGTTTCCATTCAGGTCATGATCTCAGGGTCTTGCAGTTGAGCCCTGCGTCGGGCTCTGCTCTCAGCAGGGAGTCTCTCTCCCTCTCCTGCCCCTCCCTCACACACTCTCTCTCTCAAATAAATAAATAAATAAATCTTTAATAAATAAATAAGCAAAGGTCAAAAAATTCCTCACAGAAACACCTAGAAGGAAGTAAAGAGGCCCATGACACGTGATCCCTCCCCTCTTTCCTATCTAGGATTGTTAACATTTGATTTCCTTTCAAAATTCAAGATGGGGAGAGAATGAGTATCCTGTTTCCACTTCAGGTCCAGGCCACAGTGACAAGGAGTGGAGTTTTCTGACAGACCTCACTTTTCTGTTATATTCCATTATCACCAGCTATTCTGAATGGTCCTTGTGATCTGCTGGAGCTGGAAGGCTCTGGGCCTTCTAAAGTCCGCTCTGTGCTCGTATTTCTCATAGGAAATTGAGAAGGGGTAAGCGTTTGGGACTACTGGCCAAGATGGGGTTGAATCATTATCTGTGGACTCCCTTTTTCACCTGCCAAAGAGCATAACTAAATTGGTGATAACATCCTTTTTGCCATGGAGTTGACTAATCAGATAGCCCTGGGGATCAGGGAGCCCCAAGACAAGTATAATCCCAACAGGCTTTCTTTCTCTCTTTACTAATAAACCAGAAGTATTATTGTGAATACACAAAACTAGAAAAGTTCAAAACTGATGGTGATAACTGAAGGAATAAGGATCAGTGTGGAAATTAATTAAATAGTGAATAAAGACACAATAAAAAAAATGAACAAGACCAAAGTTGGTTCTTGAAAAAAAATCAACGAAATTTAACAAAGGTTGGCTTAGCATCTGAAAATCAATTAATGTAATACTTTACAGCAACAGGATAATGGACAAAACGTACATGATTATCTCAATAGATGCAGAAAAAACACTTGACAAAATTAAATACCCGTTCAAGTTAAAAGGACTCCACAAACTAGTGTTAGAAAGGAGCTTTCTTAACCTGATGAAAGATATTTATGAAAACCCACGGCTAATTTCACACTTAATGGTGAAAGACTGGATGCTTTTCCCCTCCTAACATCAGGTATAAGACACGGATGTCCACCACTCCTTGCCACTTCTATTCAACATTGTACTGGAGGTTCTAGCCAAAGCAATTAGGGAAGAAAATGAAATAAAAGCCATCTAAGTTAGAAAGGAAGAAGTAAGACTACCTCTATTTGCAGATGACATGATCTCGTATGTGGAAAATCCTAAGGAATCTAAAACACTATTTGAACAAATGAACAAGTTCAGCAAGATTGCAGTATACAAGATCAATACAGAAAATCAACTGTATTTCTCTATACCTGCAATGAACGAACCAAAAATGAAATTAAGAAAATAATTCCACTTATGATAGCATCCAAAAGAATAGCATGCACACACACAGTAAGTTTCATGAAATAAGTAAAAAACTTATACCCTGAAAACAACAAATCACTGTTGAAAGAAATTAAAGAAGACCTAAATAAATGAAAAGACATCCCATGTTCATGAATCAGAAGACTCAATATTGTTAAGATGGCAATACTCCTCCAAATTGATCAATGGATGCAATGCAATTCCTACCAAATCCTATCTGCCTTTTCTTTCCTTTCCTTTCCTTCTTTCTTTTTTTTTTTGCAGAAATGGACAAACTGATACTAAAATTCATATGAAAAAGGCAAGGGATTGGGGGATGGAGGTGACAGTTTAGGGGCACTAGGTTTATCTTCGGGGTAAGAAAAATGTTCTAAAGTTGATTATGGTGACAGAAGCACAATTATGTGACTATATTAAAAGTCACTGAACTGTATTTTTTTTAAGTTTTTTTTATTTATTTAAGTGATCTCTACATCCCATGTGGGGCTCGAACTCACAACCCCAAGATCAAGAGGCACATGCTCTTTTGACTGAGTCAGCCAGGTGCCCCCTGAACTGTATACTTTAAATGAGTGAACTGTATAGTATGTGAATCACATCTCAATAAAACAGTTAAAAAAAAAAAACCAACTGATTGTATCTGTGTGCAATGAAATTGTGACTCAGCAACCAGTCCTGGTATGGAAATCTCCCTTTTACTAGTAATTGCATTTTCTAGATGTTCATGTTGCCTCCATAATTCTCCTTGGGCAGCCAGGTAAGTTGATGTCAGGAGAGTGACAAAGTCTGAGTGGTTCACAAAATAAAGGAGAAATGGCCAGCATTATGAGCTTTTCTGCCTTCAATGGGTGAGGCCACGCTGGAATAAAACCCAAAGAAACACAGAGCTCTACCCGTGTTTCCAGCTTGATTAGGGGAGGGAGCAGGAGCTGAGTTTCTCAATATACCTGGCACCTTATATACCTGTCTATTAAGCAGCATAGAAAGCAGGAAAAAAAAAATCTCAGGCCTATTTTTAGTATATAAATTTCACTTTCAAAATGAACCCCAAACCTGCTTCTAAACTGTCCATAATAAGGGGTCACCATTTTTAAAGTGAGAGTTTGAGAATTGCTAGAACAGATGTTCTGTGAATCCAGATAAGGACTAAGGAGTAAGCACAGGCTGTGAATTCAGCAAACTCATGGTTCAACAAGGCCATAAAAAAGGGGGATTAAATTAAAAGGGGGATTAAATGAAAACTAAAATAAACCTAGGGAAAAAGCTAAGAATATGCTTACTTGTCTGAATCCATATAAGAAATGCAGTCTGAACAAGAGGAGGATGAGGGACAGAAATGCCAGGGTCAACGTAAAGGGATTAAGAGGAGGCTGCCTGCTGGAGAAATGCTGTCCCCTTTGAAAAGGCGACAATCATTTCTAGAAGTGACACATGCAATAAGCATCTAGTCACCCTCCCCTCCCCCTCGCTTTGGGGGCCTCAGAAGCAGCTGCCTGCACTCTCTCCGCCATTTTTCCAACTTGATCACCAATGTGGAAGGTTTCCATATTGATTCATACGTGCCCCCCTCCCCTCATGGAGAGATTCTGAAGAGCCATCATGCCTCATCCTTGCGGGAACCAGCAAAAATGGGAGAGTGAGACTCTAAGGGGAGGAATCAAGAGTGAGTCAACAATCTCCTGTCTCCTGGCCCCTCATGGTCTCTGCCTGCCACCCCCCACTCCCCACTCCCCACTCCCCAACCTGGGGAAGGCCCACGCCAAGGCTGTAAAGGTTCCCTAGCCCACCTTCCTCCAAGGTGGCCAAGTCCCAGATTTAAAACTTAAAAAAGTTAAGAAGTTCTAAAGAGACATCGCCTTCCAGTCACTTAAAAATTATTTAATTCTCCTTCTTCTTGTAGCTAATTCCATTTAAAACAAATCTGCAAATAAAAGGATCAAGGAATTGCTGAAGAAAAGAAAAAAGGCTAATTCTGGCTTACAAACAGCTTTGTCACTGATTGTTGGATAATGCTGGGGTTCTTACAATAAATAGAGAGAATCCCAAAGACCAACAGTGATGGCCAAGAATAGTAGCCAAGCACTGAGAGGAGAGAATTTTCCTACTTAAAATGTGCCCACTGGTGCACAGATATTCACTGAAGTTACTAAAAGTAATGCTGTATCTCCATTAAATTGGCCAATGAGACTTGTCTGTCTGGTTGTCTTTTAGGGGAAGAATCTGCCCCTGAACTTCTACTCATCCTTGAGTTTTTCCAAAGTTTTCCTCCCATCCCCTAACCTACAAATGAGGACAACAATGGCCGTACTTCTCTCCTGAGTAGACGCGGGCTTTCCGAGTGAGGATGTAGGTTTTTGTGTTTGCTCCTTTCCGGAGAGGATCGTCCAGAGGTGACTGGCAGGGTGGGTCCTCCAGAGGGTTCCAGTAGCTCTGTTCACACATACCCCGCAACAAAATCTCCGCCAATTGCCGGGCTATTGTCTGGGAACACAAAGGAGCAAAGACACGGACGTGAGTCTATTCTGTATCATTCATTCACTCATTCGCTCATTCAATGTTTTCCAGGCATCACTTCGTGCTAGGCACTATACCAAGACTCATGATTAAACATTTTTACTTCTCCGATGAACATTCTATCAGTTGATGACAAAAAAAGAAAAGGAAAGAAAATACACTAAAGTATTTGAACCATTTTAAAAAATAAGTCTGTGCCCTTTGAGCCACCCTGCCTCCAACACTCTGAAACGACTGAAACTTTTAGTTCAGCTCTTTCCCAAAAGCTCTTATCATAGGTGAACTGCACATATTTTCATCACCTCCCAACAGATCCCTGCTAAAACCCAAACTTGGCAAAAAGCTGGTGCTCAGGGCGCCTGGGTGGCTCAGTCATTAAGCGTCTGCCTTCGGCTCAGGTCATGATCCTGGGGTCCTGGGATGGAGCCCCGCGTCGGGCTCCCAGCTTGGTGGGAGGCCAGCTTCTCCCTCTCCCACTCCCCCTGCTTGTGTTCCCTCTCTCGCTGCGTCTCTCTCTGTCAAATGGATAAATAAAATCTTTAGAAAAAAAAAAAAAGCTGGCACTCAACCTAGATGACATTATTCCTGAAAATAAATAAATAAATAAATAAATAAGCTCTTCATTCTGATAAGATGGCATCCAGAGTAGATTTCTGGAATGCCTTCCCTCTTTGAAGTGCCAAGGGCCAGTCCCACGGTGGCCCCATCCTGGGACTCAGCACCTGAGCACCCTGTTCTCAGTGCACCCTGGGCCTTCCAGCCCAAAGGTTACTGCTGGCCTGCGCAAAAGAGAAAGCAAGGTGGTGAGGGTGGCTACTGATCAAGAAAGACCTCTTTTCAAAGCTGGATAGGTATCTCTTTTCTCACTGAGAAAACCCAGACATATCTGGATCTTGTCATCCTAAGTTAGACACAGATTACTATGCTTTTCAAACTCTCTGTACTAGAACAGTAGTTGAATGGGAGGGTCTGATGAATGGGAGCAGGGGGCATATGGCATCTACTAAGAGACATTTTGTTAGCTGATGCATATCGGTTCACTTACCTCATAATCTTCCAGTGATAAAGAAGAAAAGTAAAAACAAACAAACAAACAAAAAACCCCACAAAATGTCCCTAAGAACAGAAGCAAGTGCACTTCAGGGTGGCCCATGCTACCCCACGATCAGCCAAAGATGGCAAAATAAAACTTCAACCATCAGGTTTTTCCACAAGATTTTCACATTCTTTGGAAACATGCAGGCAAAGAATGCTGATCTTCTCTAAGAGTGAGACTTTTTAAATAAATATGTTCCAGAAGAGAACTTTGCTAGATTTTCATCCACGTGAAATCTCCTAAAACACCACAAGGAAACTTAAATGCAACCAAATCATTGGCTTAGTGGCTTCTGATAACCACTGGGTAAAGGCAAATTTTCTTGATTATTCCCAAGCAAGACCCACTGGCTTTAATGTCTATAAAAATGTGAAATTAAATGCACTCCTATCATTCCCAACTGAGCCATCTGTAAAGATCCTCATAAGAACACAATTTTCAGGACCTAAACAGTTCCTGCACTGTCTTCTTAAACCTTCCATTATAGTTTCATTTCGATCTCCCTGCAGTCATATAAGCTAATGTCTTCTGCTGGAACCATCAACTGGCAAAAATAACCTCCACTCACTAGAGCAGAGAAAAAAAAATGTCAAAGGAAAAAAAACGAACAAGGAGCTTCATTTTCTGGATATACCTGCCATGGAGGGATGCTAAAGTTGTAAAAATCTCTGCCCTCCACAGTTTGCTTGTCCACTATGAGACAGCTCATGCTAGATATCACTTTACCTCTGGGTATTAACCTTCCAGAGAGACTTTTAAAATGAGGTTTTGATGTGATTGCATATTTTAAACGTGTCACTCCACCACTGCACTAACCAATTAGGAAGGATGTCTGGCTGTGTGTACTGACAGCTCAAATGAAGTTCAGAACAGGAGATAAATATGAGAAATGACCAGCACAATCACCAATATTGATCAGACATTTTACTTTTTATACTCGGGTTTTATATGCTTGCCATTGAAATGCTTACAAATTGTTGGTAACTATCAAATAAAGTCAGAAGGAAAGGAAGGGAGGAAAGGAGGCAGAAAGAAGTCAAACTTTAATGTATAAACTTGGTCATTAAGTCCGTTTTGTATGTATTTTTTTAATTGTGGTAAAATGTACCTAACCTAAAATTCACCATTTTAACCATTTTAATGTGTAACCCAATGGCACTTAGTACATTCACAGTGTTGTGCAACCATCCCCTCTATCTGGTTCCAGAATGTCATTCCAAGAGGAAGCCCTGTCCCCCTCTAGTGGTCACTTTCCATTCCCTCCTTCCAAAGACCCTGGGAACAACTAATCTGCTTTCTGTCTCTGCAGATTGGCCCATTGGGGACATTTCCTATCAACGGAATCCTATACTATGGGGCCTTTTTGTGTCTGGCTTTTTCACTCAGCATCATGAGTTCAAGGTTGACCCATGTGGTAGCCTGGATCAGTGCCTCATTCCTTTTTGTGGCTGAATAATACTCTCATGGGTGGACATACCACGTTTTGTTTATCTAGACATCAACTGATAGAGAAATTTGAATTGTTTCCATCTTTGGCTAGCATAAATAGTGCTGCTATGAACATTCACGTACAAGTGTTTGTTTGAACACCTGCTTTCAGTTCGTCGATGTATTTATCTAAGAGTGCAGTTGCTGTAAATGGACTTGTAAATCCTTCTCAGCTATGGTCTCAGCCCAGACAGAGTTTACAAAGCAACTTTTCCGTCTCATAAGAGCGTCATAAATTTGCAATGATCAACTAATCTTTAAGGAATCATATAGTTGTGAGCAGCATTAACTGGACAAGCTTTCTGAGGGCTAGTGTAGACCAAGATACCAGTGAATAAGACCCATGAAGTGCTTCCCCACTAGGGAAGGCAAAGAATCTGTCACGGAAATGAGAAAATAAGATTCTTGGGTCCTGCCCCAAACCTACTCAGCTGGCATTTCTGAGGTCAGGAATAGGGATGTGCATTTGTTCAGAGTTCCTCAGATAATTCTGATGCACACCTTTGGTTAAGCACTCAAGGAACTGCAAGCAGTTCAACCAAGGTCACCTGAGACTCATCAACCAAGACCAAAGGTCTACTTACTTGCACCACAAATCCAACAGAGAGAGGAAGTGACCTCCCTCATGTCAACACTAACCAGTTAACAGCTGAAAATGTCCAGGGGCAGCTCCAGTCTACCCAGACTTCTTTGGAAGCCTCCTCACAATACGTCTCAGAAAAAAGAAAATAATAACTGAAGAAACCTCTCTCGCTTCCTGACATTTCTTTATTCAGAATCCCACCTCACAGGATTTTTAGAAGTTAAAAGTACATTGATCTGAATATCAGAAACCTTAGGCAATAATGGAAGATATTCTCTAATTCTGTGAAGAATAATGTTGAAGTAAGCAGCAGGCAGATGCCCACAGAATATTCAATGCACTCACACCTTCTAATTGGAGAAAAACATCAACAATATGACCAAATGCTCCATATTTAAGCAATTTAGGAAGATTGGCTTTTTAATCAGCTTTTAAAACAATTATAAGAACACTTGGCAATATCATCAGTTACTTTAATTGTGCTTCTAAATCTTAAAAGAAGCTATTCATGCTGACCAGGCAAGAAGTTTTATGAACTCTTGGGAGAAGGTCAATTTGAGAGAAAAGACACTTGGCAACAATTTTTATTCATATTTTTTCAGAGTTTTTCCTTAAAGAACTCTACAAATCAAAATGTCTGGTTTGAACTTCTTAAGGCACCCCAAATCACATCAATATATAAATAAATACCAAAGACCAAGTAAGGTCTTGGTTGCAGGTGTGGAGTATAAAGTTGCTCCTCTTGTCCCCCGCCCCCCGCTAATTCTAGGAAAACTTATTGCTTCGTCATCTGGCCCACGAGTTGGATATCTGCATCCTAAAACCCTAGAGACACCAAAATGAAGATACAGCCTCACTTCTCAGGACAAGGGTCACTGAGCCTGGCCCAACTGAAAACTCTCCCACAGCACTGAAAGGGGTCATGACGATGGGAGGACGACACCATTGGTAACAAGACAAAAGAAGGTGGGATCTTACATGGGGTTGTTATGTCCGTTGTGACATGCGGTATTTGCTTCGACTCTGGTGAGCACCAGGCCTTCACCCAGACAGGCCTTGGCTATGGCTCTGTAGAGCAAGCTATGGAGGTATCAGCAATCACCTCCCCAGCCAGGAAAGTTCAAGGGTTAACAAGGAAGAGAGAGAACTTACGCCAACAACACAGCCAAACTGCTGATGAACCAGGTTATCTAACTAGCTTTTCTATTTCTCCTCTAAGTTTTAGCATCAATATAATGAGTCAAACAACGAGGTGCTCTTCAGGATCCAATCTGATTTCCTCTGGCTGGGTTTTGTTGTGAAATCATTAGCGTACAACCAACCCCTTCACCACACTAGCGTCTGGGAGGGCTTACATTCTGCCTGCCTTACAGGATGCATTTCTTCTGTTTCAAGAGGTAGCACGACCAATAAGTATATAAAAAGATGCTCAACATCATTAGCCAGCAGGGAAATGTAAATTACAACCACAATGAGACAGCACTTCATACATACTAGGAAGGCTAGGACTAAAAAGACAGACAATAACAAATGTTGTCAAGAATATGGAGAAATTGGAGACCTCGTAACTGCTGGTGGGACTACAAAATGGTGCAGCTGCTTTGGAAAATCGTCTGGCAATTCCTCCAAATGTTAAACGTACAGCCTGTTCACCTAAAACTTGTCCACATGTCCACCTAAAAACTTGCGTAAGAATGTCCATAGCAGCATTATTCATAATAGCCAACACGTGGCAACAATCCAAATGTCCATCAACTGATGAATAGATACATAAAATGTGTTATATCCATGCAGTGGAATAGTATTTGGTCACAAAAAATGAGTGAAGTGCCGATCCATGCTCCAACATGGGTGAACCTTGAAAATACCATGCTAAGTAAAGCAGGTCGGTCACAAAAAGACTCCCTAGTATATAATTCCATTTACATGAAATGTCCAAGATAGGCGAATCCATGAAAGCAAAACATAAATGAGCGGTTGCCAGAGGCTGGGGGAAAAGGAGAGAATGGGGATTGACTACGGATAGGTATGGGGTTTCCTTTTGGGGATGAGAATGTTCTGAAATTAAATATTAGTGATGGCTGAACAATGTGGTGAGTACACTAAAAACTACTGACTTGAAATGGATGAGCTGTGTGGTGTGGAAATTATATTTCAACAAAGCGTGTATACACACACACACACATATATGATGGGGGGGTGGAGAGATAACACCTCAAGTGCCCTTCTGGTCTCGATCCAATTATCCATCACACTCACCATTCGCAGGTTTTGTGTTGTTCTTGTTTCTACGGCTCTGAGGATCTCTCTAAATCTCCCAACTCCTCTCGTCAAGTTCCTGTGTGCACACAGAATTTGACAGGGTTTCCATCTGGCGTGCATTAATATTAAATATTTTATACACATATTTCGATGCATTTTGTCTACATAAAAGCTGTTGGTTAGATTTTAAGCAAACAATTATTCTGCACATGCCTGTCCATCTCTGCTCAACTCTGAGAAATTTGGCCTGGGATTGCTGGTCTTTTGTGCTTCCACAATCAAATTTTTTTCAAGGGGGAAAAAAAATCTGAAAATCAGTTCTGAAGCCAAAAGAGGAGGAGGAGGAGGAGGAGGAGGAGGAGGAGGAAGAATAAGAAGAGGAAGAAGAAGAAGAAGAAAAAAGAAAGAAAGAAAGAAGGAAGGAAGGAAGGGAAGGTAGATAGGTAGGCAGGTAGGCAGACAGATGTAAGGTATCTTGCAAGAGTCTACCTTCAACCTTACAATGGCTCCATAGTTTTCCTGCTCTACTGCGTGGTGCTGAAATCTGTTTTCACTTAAAAGGTGGGTGGCAAGAGGGTACGGGAATACTCACAAGGCACTGAAAGCAGTGTGCTAAAGGCTTCCTGTAACTTGCCATTTTTATGGGCAGGACAAAGATAACAGGTATGAAAACTGAGGGGCTCCACCAAGCAATCACTCTGCATCTCTGAGAACCTAAATCACTGCCCAAAAAAGCCACCAAGCCAACCCCCCCCCCCCCACTCTCCACCGACAAGAAGAAGCAAGTGGTCAAAGGCCCCTTCTGTGAGCAAATGCATGAGGACTGGAACCCTGAGCCACCTGACTCGCATGGGAAGGCATCTCCTCTCACTGCCCCACACCTCACACTGAGACGTTTCTGGTGACACATTTCAGTACAGGACAGACAACTCTTTAGTAACAGCCTGGTCACTATATCCAGCCCCCATTTGTAGTCCTCCCTGAAAGCTGTGCTGGTCCCGTTCGGCTGGGAACACTTCCCAGTCAGTCCCTTTACATTGAGCGCTACCACCACCTACGACATAACTCGGTGATATTTATAACTTGCTCATTAGAACACATCTCATCTTTCCAAAAAACCACAGAGCGGGTCAGCCAGGGCAGACCTGTCAGCCGCCTCTGCGGGCTGTGGCAGGAGCTCTAGGTATTTGACTGTCTTCTTGGATGACATTTTAAATCGTGCAAAGGTATTTAATCAAACTGAATGTGGGTTCTGCGTGCTACAAGCCCCCACAAGGGCTATTAATTTGTGTCTTCTACCTACACGACATCCCAGGACTCTCGTTCACAAGAACAGCCTAATAGTTTATTGGCGTTCAATACATCAATACTCCCATATCCCTCTCACCCACACATATCAGATGATTCTTGGTGGCACAAAAAGAGATGCTGGTGCTCAGGACTCCAAGCAGCGCTAAAGGAACTCTAACAGAGACGTGAATGAAAATTAGGTAATGGGCCCTAGGACACGCAATCTACTCTGCTTTCCCCTTCGTTTGTTTTTATGGGATCCATGTTCACAGGCAACAAAGTACATTTGCTTTGGACTGAAGCTCGGCTCTCCTAAGTAATGGGGGGAAGGAAACAGCTATAACTAATCAGGGATGGGCGTGGACACAGTGGTCTAATTTTGCTCCAGAATCACAGACTATGCTCCTGCCATGTGTACAAGGAACAGCAGTCTGAACTGTATGACACACGGGTGGGCCTGAGGGAACGTAACTGGAGACCCAGGTTCACAGGGCTGTTTTACCAGGGTGGCAATTAGCTCTGAAAAGGCAGCATCAAATCTAAATAGGATAAGCCAGGGTAGGCTACAAGATAGGCACTGGTCATTCGGACTGTCTCTCACGCCCTCCTGGCAGAATGAGATACTTATCCAGTTACAAAAGCATAGAATTTTCTAGCTATTCACAAGCCAATGCAATTTAGTCCGTTATGACATAGAAGTGAAATGCCTTGCTCAGGTTCACAAACCCAGTGAGAGAGTGAGCTGGAAGCTTTCTACTAGATTCTATCATGTCAGCTCTAAAACTGTACTGTAGCTCTAGAAGAAAGAACAAACAACAAATACAAGAGCTCAGGTCTCGGGCTTATATCACTTATATGCAAATTACTTCATATATACATAATACATATTTTACACGTTCCAGTGATCACGGCTAACGAGATGCTCCCAGGAAGTGGCTCAAAATTGGAAAGAAAATCCGTCGGCCCAGGTGAAGCAGTGTGGTGTCCAGGGCACTGCCTCGGCGGCCTTAGAAGAGAAAGGATAGCTGGAGAAATTCAACTCCCCTCTGAGGGCCGGCTGGCACTCCCGCGCGGGACCGAGGCCCCCTGCTGGAGGACTGGAGGAAGTGCCCGGGACTCAAGGGGGAGCCCTACAGGAGGAGGCGGGTCCACCACTGGGGGCTTCGTCCCAAGGTAGGGACAGTGGCCTTGAAGCAAATGCTGTTTTTCTCAACCGCTTCCAGATTATTTCTGGAGAGAGCCTAGGATTCAGAATCAAATTCTTCCTCAAGCTCTGGGAGGTCCTGCTTGTAAACAAAGGATCCGCGGTAACCCCCGAAGGCCTGACACCTTGCCAAGCAAACAAACGTGGCGCCCTCAGGAACAACCACAGATCAGTCCGACAGCAGGGAGAAGGGGCTGGAGGGGAAAGATTTTAAATATTAGAAGAGTAAGAAAGTTTCCCAAATGCAAAAACATCTCATTTTCAGCAACTCCTATACTATTCATACATTTTTTTGAGTCACATAATTTTGTTCAACCAATCATTTCCACCATTGCCAGGAGAGCAGAAAAAAAATTTTTTTTAAGCTAGATGGATAATCATGATAGAAAGGAACAAAAAGGGGAAATTAACTTATAAGAATTACATTCTAAGTGCTATGAAAGACTCCAATTTGAGGGAAATAAAAGCCACATGATTGCTTTCATGTCTCTAAACTATTAGTTTATTCTTAAAATGTTGAGGTCGGTAAATATCCAGAATGAACTGCTGCTTAAAGACTCCACTCCAAAATGAAGACGAGGGAACCAGGGACTCTCCCTGGTTTTGAGGGTTTCCAAAGACCCTTCACATTAGGTCATTTATTCCATTTCAACATCCCTGACTGAGAGAGCGCAATGATGTCAGAATTCATTATGGCAAACTATTCTCAAAATGAGTGTTCCTGCCAGCCTATGAGCAGCAGGCACTTTGGCAAGCTGTCAGAACGTGGGGTTCACCTCCCGCATCTTGCTTGGCTAAGCTTCCTGAGCCGGGTGCGTGTCCCTCCGTGTGGAACGGTTCCCAATGGCTCAGCTATTATTAGGGAGAAAGGAAGGGCCTGCGTGTCCCCTGAGCACCAGCTGCTTGTCCCCTGCTTTCCCTTGCCAACATCCCTGTCCGTCCCCGACCCTGCAGAGGGGGCTCAGGCCAGTCCCCCCGCCTTGCTCATGTTCAAACCCAGGCTACCTACTGCTCTGTCTTGACAGTAGAGCCCACCCACTTTTCACAGGGACACACTTGACTCCTGGTGACCTATTTGCACTTTTTCTTCCCTCCTTTTTCCATCGGGTTTCATCATCGTCCTTCCTCCTTCCAGGTCTCATCTGCTGGCTCTTAGGTCAGGGCAAAAGCATGACTTCCTGAGGACACCGAGGGAGGCAGACTCGCTAGCACTTGGCCTCCCTCTTGACACTGTAGTGCCTGCAGCAGCATTTTTGAAGGCCGGTCTCTGGAAGTTGTAACTAAAGATCAATTACAGAACAAGTCAACACCATAGATCTCTCAGAGCCTAGAAATCGTGTGGCTTTTCTGGGGTCCCTTCTTAGCAACGAGCACTCCTGAAGCTCTTAAGCAGTAGGTCATTTCAACAGTTACTAAGCACTATTGTATGTCAGGTTCCAGGCTCATCCCTGAGGACATGCTGGGGAGCAAGGGACACCATCTCACCTCAGGTTGCTGAGAGGGCTACACACCCCCGCTCCCCCCATAAGAACGTAGGCACCTTATGGACCAAGATCTGTGTTTTGCTCATCTACATATCCCAAGCCCCTCAAACAGGGCCTGGCATACAGCAAGTGCTCAATATATACTTGTTGAGTGTATTTCAGAACCACTGTGAGTCAAATAAACCAAGACCAACAAGGGGATACATTTTCTACCTGTTCCTTGTCCCCTTCTTTCTCACTGCACTGGACTGGGCAGCCCAGCAAAGAACTCTCTTAAACAGAACACATCACACATGTGCTCGGTGGTGTTGCAGCATGGGTCCCGCGGGAGCCGTTGACACCTGCCTGACCAAGTGACACAGCTGGGCATGCCTGGCCTGACAGCTTTGAGAGGGCTGCACAGATCATAAGGATTTTGAAGACCTTTTTAAAAACCTTCCAGACATTTTGGGCGGCTTTCCTGCCCACGTGCCTTTATACATGCTCCTCCCTGTCTGAGGTGGTCTGGGAACTGTTAGTTACCCTTCCAGACCTGGGTCAAAGGCCACCCTTGGGAACGGTTTCCCAGCTTCCCTAGGAAAACACAGGTACTACTTCCTGGGTGTTCCCAACAAGCTCGCACGTATTTTGAGCAACACACTGATTTTCATTTGTATTTATGTCTGTTGGCCCACCAAACTGTGATCACCTTGGAAGCAACGGCCCTCTTTGTGCCTACTGCTACACAGAGCTAACCAGGCACCCGGTGACACCTGGGAAGCTGGGTGCCCTCAAAAGAGAGAAAAGAGTGAGCGCCATCTTATATTCTGAAATCTCTTTCCCTATCTCCTTGCTGAAGAGTTTTCTCAATTACAAACGGGACACCTAAAGCAGACACTTCTTACTTCATGAGATCCACCCCAATGGCATGCTAGCCACTGTCAACACAGCCCCAGAAAACCAGAAATAAACCACGCTGCTCTAGGTCACTTGTTCTTAGTTCTCGGGCTTGAGAATTGCTTCCTCTTCATTTACATAACCTGAGTAGCACCTATTTGGAAAAAGTCTGAAATCAAAACCAGATATCCAGATCTGGAAAGCGGGAGAAGAAAAAGACAT